AATAGAAATTATGGTGACCATCATATGACAGAATTTTTCAAGACCTTTTGCAAAGCTTATTCATTTCAAACACCTCTTTTAAATAACAGAAAAGGTGATTATACACATTGACCTCACCAGATGGAATGAACAGGAATCAAATTGACTACACTGTGGGAAGAGATAATGAAGATGCTCATTATCATCAGCCAAAACAAAGCCAGGAGCAGACTGGAACAGACAATCAACTGTTTATCTGCAAGTTCAGAAATAAGCTGAAGAAATTTGAAACAAGTCTACGAGATCCAAAATATGACCTTGAACCCAGCTGGATTTCAAGACCATCTCAAGGACAGATTTCATGCATTTGACATTACGACCGAAAACCAGAAAAAAATGTGAGATGACATCAAGAACATCTTACAGGAAGAAAGCAAAATGATATTAAAAAAGCAAGAAAGGAAGAAAAGACCAAAATGGGTATCAGAAGAAATATTAACACTTGCTTTCCAATGCAGAAATGTTAAAGCGAATGGATGAAATGAGGAAGTAAAAGCTAAACAAAAAGTTTCAAAGAGCAGCACAAGAAGACAAAGTATTATAACGAAATGTGCAAAATCCTGGAATTAAAAAAAAGACAAAAGGGAAGAAAGAACATGCTCAGCATTTCTCAAGCTGAAAGAGCTGAAGAAAAAAATTAAGCCTTGACTTGAAATATTAAAGGATTCTATAAGCAAAATATGGACTGATGTAGACAGAATCAAAAGAAGATGAAAGGAATACACAGGGCCACTGTACCAAAAAGAAATGGTTGATGCTCAGCTATTTCAAGAGGTAGCATATGATCAAGAACCGATGGTACTGAAGAACAAAGTCCAAAGTGCACTGAAGGCACTGGTGAAAAAGAAAACTCAGGAATGGACAGAATGCAAATTGAAATCTTTCAACAAACTGATGCAGCATCACTGAAGGTGTTCACTCCTCTATGCTAAGAAATTTGGAAGATAGGTACCTGGCCAATCCACTGGCAGAGATCCATCTTTGCACCCATTCCAAAAAGAAGTAAGCCAAAGGAATGTGGAAATCATCTAACAATATCATTACTATCACATGCAAGTAAAGTTTGATGAAGATAATTTCAAAAACAACTGCAATAGTATATCAAAAGGGAACTGCCTTAAATTCAGACTGGAATCAATGAGGAACCTGGAAGTAGAGATACATCACTGCTGATGTCAAACGCATCTTGGCTAAAAGTAGATGATATCAGAAAGAGATTTACTTGTGCTTTATTAACTGTGTTCATTTTGAGGACTAAGGTGAGCTTGACCCAGGCCATGGTATTTTCAATAGACCCTTATGCATGTGAAAGATAGACAATGAAAATGGAAGACCCTAGAAGAACTGATGCATTTGAATTCTGGTGTTGGAGAAGAATATTGAAAGTGTCAATGACTGCCTGCAGAACAAACTTATCTGTATTGGAAGAGTTACAGCCAGAACACACCTTGGAGGCACGTATCTCATACTTTGGATGCTATCTGGATGGACCAGTTTCTGTAGAAGGACATTAGGATTGGTAAAGTGGAGGGTCAGAGAAGAGGAAGACTCCGATGAGATGGATTGACACTGTGACAGCAACAATGGGCTCAAGCATAACAATAATTGTGAGGATGGTACAAGACCAGCAGTGCTTCGTTTTATTGCAGATAGGATTGGTATGAATCAGCGCTGGCTCAACAGCACCTAACAACAACATTATTCTTAACTGGTTCTGATATGCGGTGTTGTAGGATAAGCGCCAGACTGTACTGCTAACCACAAGGTTGGTTGTATAAACCTATCAACCTTTCTTGGAAACCTTATACAGGTCCACTATGTGCTGGAACTGACTTGACGGTATTTAATAACAATTATTCTCAATATTCTTTTGTAATGGAATAGTTTAGTTGTCTCAATAAGAACTAGTAAATCTTTAAGTGAGCCTCATTTATTATACTACTAGTGTTCTGAAATGATGTCTGATATCAATTAGAATTATAGTTTGTTAGTAGGTTTAGAAAGTATAAGCTGAAATTTAAGCTACTTTTCTAGTTATTTCTTGAAATCTCCTTAATCTGGTAAATGTATATGGGAAGAAGACAGAGGCAAGAGCAGGACTATGAACTGGAAAAACTAATGTGATGAGGTTCAAAGGTGAAGAGCTAGGTATCTATGTGTGGGGTGTAAAGAAAAGAAAATCCTTGTCTCACTATGGAATAAACATAAAAGAAAAACATAGATATTTCATAGATAGAGCTTGTCAAAGGATCTCTAAGGGATAATGGACCAATTCACTGGTTTGGAACTGTTTCCCCATATTTGAACAATGAGTGAAGAGCTGCAAAATTTATACACCTCTCATCTCCTATCTGGTAGCGTAGTGGTTACGAATCGGGCTGCGAACCGCAAGGTCAGCAGTTCGAAACTACCAGCTGTTCCGCTGGAGAAAGATGAGGCTTTCTGCTCCTGTAAAGATTTACAGCCTTGGAAACCCTGTACAGGGTCGCTATGAGTCGGAACCGACTCCACGGCACATAACAACAACAACAACAACAACAACAACATCTCCTATAATGGGAAACAAAACAATTACAATGTCCACTTGCCCAGTCAGGTCTGCAGAACCATTACTTGTCATATCCTTTGAATCTTAAGAGATTCCTGAGTTGCCCTTGGCAATTGTTCTCTGCCAGGCAACAGTGTCCAGGACAGTCAAATGGCTAAGGTTGACCAACAGAGTTCATTCCAGTCCAACAGCTTTCAACCCTTGAAGACCTCTTATCCATAAGAGCATCCACATCTTTATGTCTAAGTTATGAATACGTTGTTGTTAGGTACCATCAAGTTGGTATTCACTCATAGTGACCCTATGCACAATGGAACTAAACATTGCCCAGTCCTATGCCAACCTCACAATCATTGCTACACTTGAGCCCATTGTTGCTGCTACTGTGCTAATCTCTCTTGTTGGGGGTCTTCTTCTTTCTCTCCGACCCTCTACTTTAGCAAACATGATATCCTTCTCCAGTGACTGGTCTCTTCTGATAGCATGTCCAAAGTATGACAGAGTAAGTCTGGCCATCTTGACTTCTAAGAAACATTCTGGCTGTACTTCTTCCAACACAGATTCATTTGCTATTTTGGGAGTTCATAATACTTTCAATATTCTCCTCAAACACCATCATTCAAATGCATCAATTCTTCTACAGTCTTCCTTATTCACTGTTCAACTTTCACTTGCATATGAGGTTATTGAAAACACTATGGCCTGGATCAGGTGAGCCTTTGTCCTCAAGCTGACATCTTTGCTCTTCTACACTTTAAAGAGAAGGTTGTGTGCATCAGATTTGTCTAATGTAATACATCATGTTATGAGTATAATGCCTTCCAACTAAGGAAGTTTCTAGTTTAAGAATCTATGAGTCAAGAATGGCTAATTTGACTTGTCCAACATAAATTAGAAAAAGAAATGGAAATAACTGATTGATGTTTAACACGGGCCATATATTTAAAAATTTAAACTATAGAGTAAAAGTAATTCAGTAATAATTTCTGTGATTATTCTCTGATCCCCCGCTTCTGCTTCATTGTTGATCATTGTTTCAATTCAGCTGAATGATTTTATTTTCCATATACAAGATCAACTAAGGCATTCTGCTTCTGTAGTGATTTACCACTTCAAAAACCCTATACAGGATTGCTAAGTGTCAGAAATAACACTATGGCACCCAATCACAACCACCACCATTTAAGAATCAAAAAGAGGGTGTTGTCTATTTATTTGAAAATTATCCACTTATTTTATAGCAGACAAGTTACATTCCTTGCCAAAGTGATTTAGCATTCATATCAGAATTAAAGTTTTTCTAGGGTCAGAAAGTAAGATATTTAATGTAAGTAGTAACCTTCCTCTGGGTAATTAATATGAAACAAATTTTTAAGGTTTTATACCATGATTGACACAGATTGAATTTTGGTCTCTTTATGTTCAATGAAGGAGAACACTTTTACAGGTGCTTTGAACAGGAAAAAAATAGTTTACGGAGCTTTTCTTTGATAAAAATAATTGAGCATGAAAATTCAAATACTATGTCAGTATTGAAGCATAACAGTGAAAAATGCAAATACAGATATCAAAGTGGTGTTAGGAAACATCTTCTGAGTAATATGTATGCAAAGTGAATGAGTGAACATTGTTTCAAGAGCTTTAAAACAGCCTTTATATTTTCAATGCTCACTGATGTGCCAATAAAAAAAAAAAAAAAAAAAAAAAAAACCCAGGGGGAATAGAAGCAAATACTGTTGAATGATGAAGCATGCAGGGGATTATAATCATGCCAATAAAAAAAAAAAAAAAAAAGTAAAACAAATTTTGAAAGTTTACATCAAACTTCGAGACTAACATAATGTTACAGTTTTGTTTTGGTAGCATTTAATTATGAATAATATTATGTAAAAACTGCTTTTTAAAAGTTTTGGTGCTGTTTAGTAATAAGATAAAAGCAAATCTGTACTATAGAGAAAAACTCTTTATATGCAGTATGATAGATCACAAATCAAAGATATAACAATTATTTTCCTTGTTCAATGCTAATATGCAGAGATGTTTTCTCTGTGTTGCCAGATGGAATGGTAATGAAAGAAAGACAAATTTATGAGGTGTTCTGTAGCTGTAACCATTCCATTGGAGTTGTTAACTAACCCACATGACGCAAACTCTATTTACAGAACTGTGAGGAGGGCAAGATTTCTAAGCACAGATAGTCTCTAACCTTAATTAACAAAGACCTCAGAACTTTACACAATCATATTCATGTCTTGTAACACCACCTTCTATTACTATTATGATTAGATAAGTGAAACAAAGATTAGGGAAGTTGAATGAATTGCTTAATATGTTAATAATAATAAATTGGATAAAAAATTTTATATATAAAAGCCAACTGAAGGACCAATACAGATGTCATGAAATGACTAACCTGGAGTTACTAGGACTCCATTGCCATTGACCACAGGCCTCTCTTCCTCTTCCTCCTCTGGAGGCTCTATACTTGCTTTTTCCATGTTGCTCACTGATTTGTTCCTCTTCCGTTTTCCTTCAGCACTTGGAGTGGCTCCTGGAAGTATCTGGTCTGTTACATTTAACAATAATGGTGTTGGTTCTGCTGGAGGTTTCGGGGTCCCATAGTAATTGTCTGCAAAGAAAACCCAAACATGACGGAGTTAACTCATTCCACTATAGTGTGCCACCATGGTGTATAATTTGAAAAGAATGGAAATTATATGAGCAATTTTGTATTCTATTTCACATAGTTACACTACTAGTTTCTTCTATCCTATTGGGTTTTAATGCTTTTACTTTTTGCCAAAACAAAATAAACCCTTATATATTATTCCCAAATGGTACCCAGTAGTTTCAAATTATTAAAATTTTCTAGAAAACAATCTTTAGAGACAACAAATATGTCTTGGAAGAAGTACAGCCAGAATGTTTCTTAGAATTGAGGATGGAAAGACTTTATTTCACGTTCTTGGACAGGTTATTCAGAGAGACCAATTTCTGGAAAAGGAAAACATGCTCGGTAAAGCACAGAGTCAGTGAAGAAGAGGAAGACAACCCTATAAGATGGATCTTACAGAGGCTGTAGCAATGGACTCAAACATAGCAAGAATTGTGAGAATGGCTCAGGAGATGGCAGTGTTTCATTCTGTTCTGTTGTGCACGGGGTTGTTATGTGTCTGTCGGAGCAGACTTGATGTCACCTAATAACAACGACCTTGATTCTAACCATTTACAACATAATTTTGGATGAAAAAGGATAAAAGTAACTTTAATTTATTTTAACAACTCTTGTAACTTTACAGAAAAGCAAAGCACACTACACTTTTCTCCCTTTTTCAAAGGGCTCTGAGGATTGTCCTGGGTGTGCGCAGCATCCTCCCTAAACATGTATCTCCAAGTCAGCCTAGTGGACCTGTTGCTTAAATAGTTCTTCAGATGGCTGAGGCACTTTTCCCCATACCTCCACAGTCTGAACTATAGGACCATTTGTTTTCTGTAACTTTTTGAAGAAGGAAAATATTTTGTATTTATTTCTGTAATAAGAGCCTGGCACATAGTAGATATATAAGCCATTCTTACTAAATGAATATCTTTATACCCTAAATGCAAGACAGTTTATTTAAAATATTCTAAAATTTCATTGACAAAGAATGGTATGTTTTAAAAAATCAATGTTACACTTTTAGCAGTACCTTCAAATTCCTATCTGTGTTTATAGTTAATTGAATAATTTACATACATACTTGTTCACTTTTTCATTAAAGTCCTCATTTGACACTTTCTAGGTCACTGGTGATGTAGTGGTTAAGAACTCAGCAGCTAGCTGAAAAGGTCTGTGGTTTGAACCCACTAACCACTGCATGGGAGAAAGATATGGAAGATGTGGCGATTTGAAGGCTAGTTTTTAACTTTGAGGTGAATGCAACTTTTAAATGAATGGAAAATTCTAAGCAAGCAAATGCCAACTGCCACTTGCTTCCTACAGGAGTGTATGACTGTACTATATGTACAAGGAGCAGCATAGCCTTAAGTAAACTTTCTATGGGGTTTCAAAGTACAAGTGTCCTTATTTAATAAAGTAAACCTAATGATTAATCTTACATGCCACAATCAGTGATATAATTTTAATTATCATTCTGAGATCTTTAACACCTAATAGACTCAGCTGTGGTAGCATAGTGGTTACGTTTCGGGCTGCGAGCCGCAAGGTCAGCAGTTCGAAACTCCCAGCTGTTACATGGGAGAAAGATGAGGCTTTCTGCTCCCGTAAAGATTTACAGCCTCAGAAACCCTGTACAGGGTCGCTATGAGTCGGAACCGAGTCCACGGCACATAACAACAACAACAAATGTATCACTAAAACCTTCCTTCACACTTACTGACCTGATCAGGCTCCTATGAATAGGTGCTACCTGAAAATGGAGGATGACCACATCAGATCCTAAAAGGGAGAGTGGCTACATTATTAGACAGCTGACAAATTACATCATTTCATAACTGCCAAACCACTGAGAATCACCGCCAAGGCAAGCTACTCTTCCTGTGTGTCCATCACAGACAGTATTCCTCTTGCCTCGAACATTGGCATACATTATAGCCAGACATACACAGTTAATGAATAAAATAGATAGTAGGTTTTTCATTACTGTTGAAAGTGTGAAATGTTGGATAAGGAGATAGTCAGTTAGTAAGGAGGAGGCATATATCGGAGTCCTGGTGTGGTGCTGTGGGCTACGGCGTTGGACTACAGAGTTGGTTTGAACCACAAGGTTGGCAGTTCAAGCTTACTTTCCACTCCTTGAAACCCTGTATAGGGTCACTATGGGTCAGAACTGACTCGATGGCCCTTAACAACAACAGCAAGACATATATCATTAATCATATTATGTTGTTGGTGTTAAGTGCTGTCCAGTTAAATCCTTATAGGGTTTCCATGGAGCAGCTGGTGGGTTTAAACTGCTAACCTTGTAGTTCGCAGTCCAGTGCTTATCCTATAGCAACACAAATGGGCTCATATGTTTGATTATTTAATTTCCATATATACCAACCCACTGCCACCAAGTCAATTCCAAATCATAGGTACCCTGTATAACAACATGTGTTTGTTGTTGTGTGTTGTCGAGTTGGTTTCAACTCAAATTTGCATAAGGTTTCTGAGAGCAGCCGGTGGGTTTGAACTGCTGACCTTGCCGTTTGCAGTCCAGTGCTACAGAACCACCACAGGGTTCATGTATCTGATTAGTGAATTGCATATATACCAGCCAACTGCCATCAAGTCAATTCCATTCATAGGAGCCATGTAGAGGGTTTGAGACTGTAAATATCTACAGGAGCATACAGCCTCAGCTTTCTCCTGTGAGTTTGAACTGCCAGCCTCATGGTTTGCTGCTTGCTTCCTAACCAACAGTGCCCCCAGGTATCCTTATCCACATAGAAATAAAAACCAAGCCAAGCTCACTGCCATTGAGTCAATGCTGACTCATAGAGACCCTATCTAGGGTTTCCAAGCTGTAAATCTTAAAGGAAACAATGTCTCTCCTTCTCACAAGAAGCGGCGGATGGATTTGCAGTTAGCAGTCCAGTGCTTCCATGCTTATCCTACAGTGCCACCAGGGTTCTTTTATACATCTACAATAACATACATATATGCATAGGATAAGCACTGTACTACTAACCGCAAAGTCGGCAGGTCAACCCAATCAGTTGTTCCTAGGAAGCCTTACACAGAGTCACTATCAGTCAGAAGTGACTCGATGACAGCAACAACAACAAAAATATACTGCATGTCAGTGCTTTCTTCCCCAATTTATCCTTCAGGGTTTACAGCTATCTTAAGGAGTCCAAGAACCTTTATTTATTAGAGATAAATGCACCGCACAGACTAAAAGTAAATAATAACAAATCCTGTTGCATTTATATTACTAAATAATTATACTTGTTGGTATGTGATTATAAATTATATAGCAATATTCTATTTCTACAATTTGATTTATGGAATTAATACTTCAGACTAAATTTTATATGTAAAATGGTATGAATCATTTGCAAAGACATTAGAATTATCTTCATTAGCAATAATAACAGCAATTTAAGACAGGCACAGAAATAACCCATAGAGTTACTACATTTCAGAAATATTATTCATGGAAAATAGGCTATTACTCAAACCAAGATTTATCCTAATGCATCAAACAAGGAAACCAGAAACACCTAGATCAAAGTTGAAGATCAGCCAGGCAGTCATAGAGCCAAGTAGTTGAAAACACTCTTTGATGTAAGATTATACAAATCCATATAAAAGGATAGAATTGCCACTTAGGTTACTAAGCTGTGAGCTGGAACTGACTCAAGGTCACTTAATAACAACAACCTATCAGCATATTTTAAGAAAACACACACACACACACACACACACAAACTGTCTTAAACATAATTTGGAAACATAGATCCATTAAAAGCAAAGCCACTTTGTGTATAGTACCAGGATTTAGGAAATCTCAAAATTTAAAAATCACAACCATATGGTATAGTGACTAAAAAGTTAAGAACATAGATGCTGATGCGGTAAATTTGATTTTGAGTCCTGGTTCCACTGCCTAATCACTGTGACCCCTCATCTTGCTTCTTTGCAATAACCTTATATAGATCCAGTTGAAGTGGAAAATGGCGATAGTCACAAAAGCTAATGCCATTACTAACACTCCTGTCCCTACCACCACCACCACAATTTACTGATCGGCTCTCTTGTGTCAAATGACGATTGTAATAAGCAATCTTATCCCACAGAGCTGTTACAAAGATTAATGATGATGAAAGGATAAGTAGAGTTCCTGATCACAGTGGGAACTCTATATACATTGGTTACTTTTGGCATTTATTTATCACAAAAACCATATGAAGTCGTTCTGCCTCTGTAGTTAAGAGTATAAAGGCTCTAAGAATTGACACTATTTTCCAATATTATACAGAGAGTAAGTAGAAAACCTATTATCTGTTTGATTTTTAAAACCTGAAGTCTTTTCAAAAGAAAGGAAGTGTGTTGTAATTTGCAACCTGGACCAGGATTTACGCTAGACAACTTCATTGAAAGTCCCAGTAAAAAAAAAAAAGAAAAATCAAAATGGGAAGGCAATATTTCTTACCAAATCATAAAGCAGGGACATTCTAGGTAATTCATTCATCTAGAATTCCAAAAGAAACTTGTGAGTGTGTTTGTGTGTGTGTGCTTGTGCACATGTGCCTGTTTGTGGAGGCTAGTGGGGAGAAAGGAAAAGATGCCATACTGCTGTTCTTGTTAAGTGTCATTACGTTAGTTCCAACTCATACACAATCCCGTATGGGGTTTCCAAGGAGTGGTTGGTGGGTTTGAACCACTGACCTTGTGGTTAACAGTCCAGTGTGTAGCCTACAGTGCCACACCAGGATTCTAGGCTTTTCTGACACACTATTGACTGGGTGCACCTGTTTTTGTAAGCATTAGCCATTTCACAGAAGTTTAAATTCTAAAATATTAGAATTTTTATATTTAATATAAATATAAAATTCCACTAATTTGCTACAATGGACATGATATATAAACTTCATGTCTTAGTTCCACCATAATTAGGCTAATCTATACATTTTCAAAGCTTG